AGGGTCCCATGTTCAAGGCCCCTCTGGGCAACTTAGTGAGACAGAGTCTCACTAAAAAAATCAAAAGGGCTGGGGATGTAGCTCAGTGGTAGAGCACCCCAGGGTTCCATTCCCAGTACCTTAAAAAACAAAACAAAACAAAACAAACTAGTCTTTCATGGATATGTACTGTACATACTCAGGTTCGAGCTCATTCAACTATGTACATCAAATGTGTGCGGATTTTATGTTGATCAGATCTCAATAGTGTGATTTTTTTTTTTTTAGTTGTAGATGGACACAGTACCTTTATTTTGTTTGTTTATTTTTATGTGGTGCTAAGGATGGAACCCAGTGCCTCACATGTGCTAGGTAAGTGCTCTACCACTGAGCCACACCCCAGCCCCTCACTAATGCCATTTTACATAGGAACACTGTTCTTATATTTCACCAAATGTCAAAAGGTCCGAGGCATTAAAACAGTTCAGAAGCCCCACCCTCTTGTTCCAGGAAGCCATGTTGGTTGGGTTTTCTATTATTTGCTGACCAAAGCATCCCAACTCTGAGAGGGTTTGGCGGAACAGTTTGAGATGCTCTGTTTGGTGCACACAGTGTAACTGTATGTTCAAATGCGGCTCTTCCTGCTGGTGGGTTGAGAAAAAAACAGCCCAGGGTCACCAAGGATACCCACAGCCCTGTGAAAAGGGCTAGACTGGCTTGGTGGACACACAGACTGATGGACAGGCTGGTCCCTGACCACCGAGCACCACAGAAAGGTGGGAGCAGTGGGAGTGGGCCATGTGGTCTGCGCCCTGCCACCTCCCACACCCCACAGGCCAAAGCTGCAGGGAGGGCAGAGTGCTCAGGTGGGAAAAAGGATGTTCATGCATGTGCTTTTTACACTAGACTGGACATTTTTTCCCCCTTTGCTCGGAATCAAACCTGGGGCCTTGCAGGTGCTCAGCAAGAGGTGGCCACTGAGCCACACCCTAACCCCTAAGCTGGACTTTAATGGTCAGATCTGTTTATTCTTATTCTCTCCAAGATTGACAGCAAAGCTGGGAGATGGTTTGGGCTCCAGCCCCATAGGAAGAGGGTCCCTGAACAGCGGCAATGGGGGACAATGCTGTCTCTGCCTTTCTGATCCAATCTGCCCTCTCCCTGGCTGTTCTGCCACCCCTCCCTACAGAGGAAAATGAAGGGTCACAGGCTCCAGGGAAACTTCAGGGAAGACTTGGAAGGACAGGGCTGCCAGAGACTGGCCTGGCCACAGCAACCCCCTGAGAACTTCTGCCTGTGAGTGGACAAGGACCAACTAGGTCACAACAACAGGCCTTATGGGAAGAGCAGAGGGACCCAGGGGACATCTGTTTCCCAAATTTAAAGTAGTGTTCTACCTTTTAACATTCCCTTCTCCCCAGTAGTATCCAAATAATAAGATCCAGAACTAACACTCCAGGACTCTGGTTCTCAGAGTGCCGCTGGAGCAGAAGAGCCCTCAGACCTGGTGTGACCTTTCATCTTACGCATCAGCCAGGTGAGTCTCTGCTGCCTAGTTGTTTGGTCAAACACTAGTCTAGGTGTTGCTCTGAAGATTTTTTTTTTTTTTTTTTTTTTTTGCAGATGTGAGTAACATCTGTAATTAGTAACTTTAAGTAGAGGTAGTGCCCTCCATGTGGGCCGGGCTCAACCAGCCCTTGAAGGCTTATTAAGAGCAAAAACCGAGGCTCCTTGGAGAAGAAGAGATTCTGCCTAAGACTGTAACAAAGAAATCCTGCCTGAGCTGCCAGTCTGCTGGCCTGGACTGTACATGTTGGACTAGTGGCCCTCACAGTATTGCAGAAGTCAGTTCCTTAAGCGCGGGCACACACCCTGCGGGCTTCGGTTTCTGCAGACTGCACAGGCTGATGGGGGCCGGGGGTACTTGACAGGCAGCACATATTTGCTCGCAGGTTTGCCCAGGCCTCCGGGGTCAGCCACTCAGGTGGACGCGATGTACGGCCTCTGCCAGAGTCTGTCGTGCCCCAGTTTGGGAACGGCTTCTTTCCAACCTCACCAAAGTATCACCTGGGGACCAGGGACCAGCAGTGATGGCATCCCCTGGACACAGCTTCTCAGGCCCCACCTAGATCTGCTGAGTTGGGCTCTGCATGTTAGCTAGATCCCTAGGGGATGCGGGGACACAGAAAGTTTGAGAAACACTGCCCTAGTGCTTCCCAGCGGCAAGAAGAAGAGGGGTGTTTCCTGGACTCTTGGAAAGAACAAGAAAAGTGAGCCAATTATTGGGCACCTAACGCCAAGCCCTTGATAGAATTTGGGCGATGTATGGGTATAACATGCACAGCTTCTTTGAATTCTCCACTACCCCGTCGGGCACGTCCGCTCAGTCCCGGTTTACAGACAAGGAAGTGGACTGGCTGGGGCTGAAACCTGCTGGGGTCACGCAGGGGGAAGGGGTGGATCAGAATTTGGCCCCCGGCCACGCCCACTAGCCCTGCTACTCTCCCCGGCCACGCCCACCAGCCGTGCCACCCTCCAGGCCACGCCCACTAGCCCTGCTACTCTCCCCGGCCACGCCCACTATCCCCACCGCTCTTCCCCCACAGACAGTGCAGTGCGCCTCTTCTCTTCAGGGCGGAAGACGCACAACCAAGATGCCACCCCTTAATTACAGCTGTCTTGTGTCTGCCGCTAACAAAGGCCGTGGGCCGGGAAAGGAATCAACCTAATATGCAATTGCTCATTCCCAATTAGCACAAATTATCATTTGTCTGAGAGGATAATGCTGGGAGCCCGACTCTGTCCCTGGTGGGTGTCACTGTTCATCTGCCTAATCCCTACTCCTCCAGCCCCAGCCGCCTCACCGTGCCTCCCAGGACGCAGAGGTGGTGAGAGGGTCTGGGTACATCAGGCATCCCTTGTGCCCTGCACTGGGTCCCCCTCCAGGCACCCATGCCAGCTGACTCCGTCCACGCCAGCCAACACTGAGCCACGCTCTTCTGCTCCACGGGAAGGCTGCTCACTCCTCCTCACACCCAGCTCCTTTCCCGAAGCCTGGCCTTCTCAAGGGGCTTTGATGATGCCCTTTGAGGCTTTGGTGGTGTCATGGTTTGGATCTGGAATGTCCCCCAAAAATCTCTGCAGCAATGTCCAGAGGTGGGGCTTTGGGAAACCATTGGATCATGAGGGATCTGGTCTCATCAGTGGATTAATCCATTTAATGGATTAGTATTTTGAATGGACTACGGAGAGGTGGTAGTAACTACAGGCATATTGAAGGAAGTAGGTCACTGGTGCGGGCCCTTGGGGATGATACCTTGTCCCTTGCCTCCTCTCCTCTCTCTCCTTTCTCCTTCCTGACTGCCATGAGCTAGGCAGCTTTCCTCTGACACAGCCTTCATTCACACACACACACACACACACACACACATTTTTAATGCAAGTGCAGTAGAACTATACCACCAAGCCACATCCTTATACCTTTTTATTTTTATTTATTTATTTTTTTTTTTTTGAGAAAGGGTCTTGCTCAGTTGTTGAGGCTGGCCTTAAACTTGGGAACCTCCTGCCTCAGCCTCCAGTGCTGCTGGAATTACAGGTGTGAGCCACTGCATCTGACCAGTGTGATAGTCTGATTCTGCCTCACCTCAGGCTCAGAGCGATAGGGCTGCTGACCACAGACTGAAATCTCTGAAACCATGAGCCATAATAAACCTTTCTTCCTCCAAGTCACATCAGGTAATCTGGTCACAACAATGAAAAAGCGGACTAACAGGTGGCATGTGGCCGAGAGGGTAGCCCGGGCACAAGGAAGGGCTGAGCGCCATCTTGCCCTGTTTCTTGACCCTGGAAGGGTTGTCCAGAGCAAGGCTTCACACATGCAGTCCCCTCTGCTGGAATGCTCTTCCCTACCTCCGCCTTTCTCCAGGCTGACTCCCAGGCATCCTTCAGCTCAGAGATCAAGACTAATTCTTATAGTCTCAATAATGACTATAATTTATAGAGCAGGTACTATATGCATTAACTTGTCTACTGCACAATACTATGCAATAGGTACCACAGTTCTTCTCACTCTGCAGACGAGGAACTGGGGTGCAGCAAAGTTGAGTAATCTGCCTGAGGCCACACAGTAAGTGGGATGGTTAGTGTTTGAACCAAATTTGACCTCAGATCTCAGTCTCTCACTTCTGAGTAGCTGCCTGGCTGGGGAGGTCCCTCCCCCACTTGTTCCCTCTCCTGACACCATTCTCCTTTTTTTTTTTTTTTTTTGGTACTGGGGTTTGAACTCAGGGGCACTTGGCCACTGAGCCACATCCCCAGCCCTATTTTGTATTTTATTTAGAGACAGGGTCTCACTGAGTTGCTTAGCACCTCACCGTTGCTGAGGCTGGCTTTGAACTCACGATCCTCCTGCCTCAGCCTCCCAAGCCACTGGGATTACAGGTGTGCGCCACTGCACCCGGCACCATTCTCCTTAAGGACACTCAGCACACCGTAACCATGCAACACATGTATCCTCTGCTGGCTTATTGTCCATCCTCAAAGACAGCAGAGACCACGTCTGACTTGCTGAGAGCTGAATTCCCTGGGCCTAGGTCTGTGCCTGGCACATGGCAAAGGCCCAGTGAGCATTTGTGGGATGCTTGAATAAATAGGCCCCAGGCCTCTCCATCCTTAAAATGGGGCTGGTGAGGCCCACCCCAAGGCTGATGGGCAGTAAAGCACTTGGCTGGTTCACCCACTGTTTTCTTCCACGTTAGGAAGAAGGGCTCTGGACCCCTGCCTCGTCCTGATGACCACTTGTGCATTCAATAAACGCTTATTGAGCACCTACTACGTGCCAGCAGTCACAGCCACTGGCTCTACACACTGCCAAGAAAAGGAACTCAAGTGGCCCTTTAGGGACGGCAGTCAGTGCTTCTAGCAGATCACCCAGGCAGAGCCGGTCCCTGTCAGGGTGCCTAGGGCTTCCCAGGATCCCCACTGACTCCCTCCCCCAGGCCCCTGCACCAGGCACTCACAGGCTTCATGATCCAGGTGATCCCCGGGTTTTTGCGAAACTCCTCCACAAACAGGTGGTACTCGCAGGGCATCTCAAAGGTCTTGGGGAAGAAGTCGCACTTGGCGGCCTCCAGCTTCCCCCCGTCGCGCTCCAGCTGCTTCCGGAAGCGCTTCAGGTTCTTCACCATGTAGTTCTTGCGGGTCAGCTGGCAGCGGTGGGCAGGCTGGGTGAGCCTTCAGCTCCTGCCCGGCCCCAGCTCCTGACCCCAGCCCTGCCACCCAGCACACCCCCAGCCTCCTCTCTCTGGCCACAAAATAGCAGGAACAGTCAGAGCAACCCAGACCGAGAGCCTCTAGTCTATGATTGTCCCACGTCCCAGGCAGGGACACGGAGGCAGGGCAGAATGCAGCCGGTTGCCCAGAGCGCCAACGAACAAGTGGCACATCCAGAGTTTGATCCGGCCTTTTCTGACTTGGAAGTTTATATTTATTAACCATTAAGCCACACTAACATTTTATTTTTTATTTATTTTTGGTACTAGGGATTAAATCCAGGGGCGCCCAACCACTGAGACCTATCCCCAGCCCTTTTTATTTTTTATTTTGAGACAGGGTCATGCTAAGCTACTTTGGGCCTAAATTGCTGAGGCTGGCCTTGAACTTGCGATCTTCCTGCCTCAGCCTCCCAAGTCTCTGGGATTACAGGTGCGCGCCAGCTACGCTAACATTTTAAATCCCTCACCACTGGTCCTCCAGGTCTCTTTGAGGTCAGGTTCCCTCCAGATCTCCAATCTATCTCCGGACCCAAACTTCTCAGCTTGCCTGCACCCTGAAGTCCCCCAAGACTCATGCTCCTTGCACCCCCAAACCAGCCTGCCCCCCATAGCCTGTGTCCTTAATTCTGCATCCTCAAACAGGCTGCTCCTCAGGCTTTAGATCCGCACAACCTCTAACCATTGAGCTTGCCAGATACCTAGGCCACATGTCCCCCACCTGGCATATACCCCATCATCCCCTTATATTTTTCTCTTCTGGTCCTTGTCCCTCCCAAACAAGCTCCTACTCGTCACCACACCCAGTAACTTGAGTTTCGGGCTGGGTCCCCTCTGACCGGCCCGGCTCACCTCATAGTGGTTCCGAAAGTGACAGATCCGCACATGCTCGTCCATGTAGGTGTGGTCAAAGTTCTCCCGGAGCCAGCTGACGTCACACCAGTAGAAGTCCCACTCCCCTTCACTGGGGTGAAGAGGCAAAGGTCATGACCTGAGGGCCTCAGCACTGCTGGGGTCTGGGGCCCCGGGACATGCAGCTGAGGGGCCCAGGGAAGGGCGCGTGGCAGTGCGTCCACCAGGAGTCCCTCAGAGGCCATGGGCACCACTGTCGGCAGATTGTGCCTTCCCTGAGCCCTTAGCACATGTGGGCACACTGAGCTCAGGTACCAAGTGGCCGCAGCTTTAGGCAGGGCCTGCCTGTCCAGTCACAATCCACACCAGGCCCTGCAACACGGGGCACACCTGTCCACACCACCTGCCTTCCTCCTCCACAGCCCACGGTATCAAGTGATGGAACGGCTCACGCCTGAAAGGTCTTCCCAGTTCACAAAGACCCCTCTTGCTAAGCCTCAGAGTGGCCCTAAGAGGTGACAACGATCATTCCCTCAATTCCAGGACAGGATGGCCTTGTTCACCAAAGACACGGCACCCCCAGAACTCCACCGGGCTCCACCAGGTGCCACGTTCTGACCCTGTTCTTCACCACCATGCCAGAGAGGGGGACAGGAAATCAAGTGATGGACTAAATCCAGGGACTGGAGCCAGGTGCTGGGAGCTGGGGTGCTCAAAAGAGGCATCAGGAAATAAAATAGTGCTGCCATGATTATGCCACTTTTTTTTTAAGTACATATAACTGAAGGTCGCTGTGTATCCCTGCATCTATCTCCTCTTTCTGCCCCAGAGGAAAACCAGCCTGGGTTTAGTGGCTTGTCATCTCTTCACAGTGTCTGGATGGCTTTCCTCTGTCTGGACACGGCCTGTGACATTGTCTGGCGTGTTTTTTCCCAACTTCCTTCTTGCTAATCCTTATGGCTCACCACCCTCCCGGCGCTGTTCTAAGTACTGTGCAAATATGAACTCATTGATCCCCACAGCAATTCCAAGTTCTGTCGTTATGCCCATTTTACAGATGAGGGAACTGAGGCCCACCCAGAGAGGTTAAGGAGCTCACTGAACAGAGGCCGCTGGGCTCTGGCCAGAACCACTGCAATCTGCTTCCTTATTTGACACATGGGGTCTAATTCAGTCATCTTAACCACCACGTTCCACTTCCTTGAGTGAACACACTACAGTGTATCCATTTTCAAACTAAGAGGTGTTTGAATTGCTCCCTGCTTTTTTTTTTCCCTACTATGGATAAATGGACTGAGTTTTGAAAAAAAAATCTTGGGGAACTTTGAAGCAGAAACTGAACAAGAAGGGGGCAGCTACAAGAAGGGTGACCCATGACCTTGGCCTGAACATGACCAACTGTGGGAGAATTCTGTGGTGGACTGCAATTCTAAGAGATGCCAACATGAGCCAGGAGTGGTGGCACATGCCTGTCATCCCATTGGCTTGGGAGGCTGAGGCAGGAGGATCATGAGTTCAAAGCCAACCTCAGCAACTTAGCAAGGCCCTAAGCAACTAAGCAACACCCTGTCTCTAAATAAAATATGTGTGTGTGTGTGTGTGTGTGTATATATATATATATATATGAATGAATGTTGCTCAGTGGTTAAGCACCCCTGGGTTCAATCCGTAGTACTGGGGTCAGGAGGAGTTTAAGAGCCATGTCCCTGCTTTAATGTCAAATGGGGGGAAAATAAATCAATAGCAAGACAAATGCATAATCCCACAGATGCTTTCATAGCCATATAAAAGTTCCTTTATTTAAGTAAAAGGAGTGAGTCAGCTTGAGGACAATCCTAAGCAAACACCACATGCCTGCACAGGTGGTGACACAGGTGGTGGCAGCGATGGAGCGACATGAGTCAGGAATCACCCTTTTCCAATTCCATCCTGAGTTATGAATGAAAACCTGGGCCTGGGCCTCCTCCAAAGCTTCTCTCAGGCTGTTGCTGCACACACAGCAGTCGTGAGCAATGGCTTCCGTAGCGGATGGAAACCCCCTGGGGACATGGCCATCTGCCCTCCAAACCCTTGGTCACCAGACAGCCCCATTCCAGGCTGGCCGCCAGCGCCTCATCCAGCTCCCTGCCCCTCTCCACTCTGATGCTTGCACTGGGCCACATCATGCAGGAGAGAGAGCCCCTATTCTGGTTCTGCCACAGGCAATGACTCTTACGTGACCTTGCCCTCTTCTCTGGGCCTCAGTTTCCCTACTAGAGAATCAAGGAGTGGATATTTCTGCTCAAGATGATGGATATCAATGAGCCAGACCAATACTAAATAAGTAAGAAGCAGGAGAGAAAAACTATTTCCTTACAGAAGAACCCTACCCAGCCGGGTGCGGTAGCACATGCCTGTAATCCCAGCAGATGAGGAGGCTGAGGCAGGAGGATCGTGAGTTCAAAGTTCATAGCCTCAGCAATGTCCAGGTGCTAAATTATTTAGAGACCCTCTCTCTAAATAAAATACAAAATAGGGCTGGGGGTGTGGCTCAGTGGTCGAGTGCCTCTGAGTTCAATCCCCAGTACCCCCCCCCCATAAAAGCTGATCTTCACTGGAGAAATACCACCTCAACTTAGCGACCCAGGTAACACCAGTGTAAGACCGGCTGGGCCCATGAGCCCCCTGATGCGGTTCACTGGGGAGGACACCGCATCACTTTGTGGTGTTCAGCCCTGTGACGAGAAGACATCAGACAAATCCCAACCCAGGAACATTCTGTAAAATAAAGAGTCCTCTTTGAATGTATCAAGGGCACATTTGTGGATATAAAGATCAATTAAATGCAATGTGGACCTGGAATGGATTATGAGGCAGAAAAAGAATATTAGTAAAAAATACTGGTGGAATTCCAACGATGCCCGCTGCTTGCTTCATAGTGTCTGTTCACTTCCAGGCATGGACAGACGTACTGGTCACATCAGCAGCTAGAGGAGGAAACTGGGTGAAGCTGCTAAAAGAAGGAGCTGTGTCCTGAAACCAATGCCCCTCATCACCAAGGGACAACTGTATTTTGAAGCTTTCAGTTTAAAATGATTTCAAATAAAAAGTTTAAAAATTACATTGAAAAAGTTAAAGTTGGATTCCTAACTCACACCATATTCAAAATCAAATCAAAGACCTACACGTAAGAGTTAAAAATATAAAAAAAACTCTTAGAAGAAAACATAAGAGGGCTGGGGCTGTGGCTCAGTGGCAGAGCGCTTGCTTGGCATGTGTGAGGCCCTGGGTTCAATTCTCGGCACCACATATATAAAGGTATTGTGTCTATCTACAACTGAAAAGGTTTTTTTAAAAAAGAAAGAAAATATAAGAGTAAAATTTTGTGATCTTGGATCAGGCAATGCTTTCTTAAATATGATACCCAGAGTACAAGCAACCAAGAAAAAAATAGATAAATTAGACTTTGTCAAAAATTAATTTTGTGCCTCAAAAGTCACAATGAAGAAAGTCCACAACATGAGGGGAAATGTTTGCAAATCATGTGTCTGATAAGGGTATAAAGAATACTTACAACTCGACAATAAATCGACAAAGAACTGGGTTTTTCAATGTGCGATAGGTTGTAATAGTCACTTCTCCAAAGATTTACAAATGGCCAACAAGCAAATGAAAATATGTCAAGCATCATTGGCCACAAGGGAAAAGCAAATCAGAATGAGATGCCACTTCACACCGACTTGGGATGGCTAAAATTTTTAAAATATCAATGAGTACTGGTGAGAATGCCTAAGAACTGACATTTTATACAGTCCTGTTGGAAATGGAAAATAGAGTCCAGCAGTTCATCAAAAAGTTAAATATAGAGTTACCATATGACCTAGCAATTCTACTTCTAGATGGAGTTTCTCCCAAGAGAAAAGAAAACATGTTCCACTCAGAGTTCATACATGCATTTTCATAGCAGCATTGTTAGCCCCAAAGTGGAAGCAATCCAAGTGCCCCTTCACTAATGAATAGATAAAGCATGGTATGTCCATACAGTGGAATAGTATACAGCAAATGAAGGGAGTTGGGGGTCTAGCTCAGTAGTAAGGGTGTGTGTTTAGCATGTGGGAGGCCCTGGGTTAAGAACCAAAGGAAAAAAAAAAAAAAAAGGAAATTCAAAGAGGGAAAATCCGTGGTAGCTGCCATCATCAGCGTCATTATCCTTGCTGTAACAGTCCCCAAAGTCCCAAGGAGAGTGCTCTGTATTCACTACCTGTACCACAGCTTGCCACGGACAGCTGACTCCTAATTTCTTGTGGGTGATTTTAAGTCAGTCTCGCTGCTGACTGCAGCATCAGGATCCGGAATATTCACTCATCTTTCCTTCCCTCTCTGAGAGCCCACTGAGGGGGGCGGGGACAAGCCTGTGACTCTGCAGACGTGCACACCAGCTGCAAATCCTAGCCTTACAAGCGAGGGACCTCTGAAACATGGCATTTTCGTTACTCTGTGCCCAGGTTTCTTATTGGTAAAGTGGGATTGACAGTAGCACCTACCCAGATTTTGGGGGGATGGCTAAAAGAGATCATGGATACCAAGGACTACAGTGTCTAGCAGGGCTTTTTTTTTTTTTGTACCAGGGATTAAATCCAGGGGCGCTTAACCACTGAGCCACATCCAGGGAGGAGCATGCCTTTTTTTGGAGGGGAGTATTGAGAATTGAGCCCAGGGCGCTTTACCCCTGAGCTACTTCTCCAGCCCTTTTTATCTTTCATTTTGTGACAGGGCCTCGTTAAATTGCTGAGGGTCTTATTAAGTTGCCAAGGCTGACCTCGAACTTGCGATCCTCCTGCCTCAACCTCCCAAGTTGCTGGGGTTACAAGCGAGCGCCTCTGTGCCTGTCTGGCATGGCTTCCCTGCCTCCTTCCGGCCTCCTGCTGTGTGGAACGTGAAGGTGGGCTGGAGCTCCACTTGGCACTGAGGACGAGGGACTTGCTCAAGGCAAAGCAAAATGAAGAGCCGGAACTAGCCAGGCCCCTCATTTCTCTCAGCCTCCTCGCCATCCCGGAATTTCCTATTTACGAACCTCAGTGGAGGGGCGGGGGGCAGATAGACGGGCTTCTAGCCCATCAGAGCCTCTTTGCTTCAGGTCCCTGGCACATGCATGCCAACTTCACCCCTCCCTCACGCAGCCGGGGGTCATATATTTATTTTCCTCCCTCAGCAGCCCCAGGGCCCAGCACCAAGGCAGAAACGTAGGCCTACAGGTCAAGTCACTTGTTCTAGGCCACAGAACTAGTAAGTGACCAGCTAGGTTAGTCCTTGACCTGGGCCCATCCCGGGAGGACTCAAGCCAGCAGGTCTGTGCTGCCAGCATCCCTCTGTTTCTCCAGAGAGCCACAGGATACCCCCGGCATCAGTCAAATAGACTGGGCACCTACGTGCTGAGTGACCTTAAGCAGTTGGCTTAACACCCCTGAACACTGTCATACCTGATTGGATGGTTGTAAGGCTTAAATTAGAGACAGAGACGGTGTGAGTGATTTGTCCACCACAGTGTGGGTGCTAAATAAATGTCAGCGCTACTTTAGGGCAAGTCCTAGTGGCTACTGGGCTGGGGGGCTGGGAGAAAAACCAAGGCAGGCAGGGATCTGTAAGAAACAGGGGAGGGGGTGAGGAGAGGGAGAGGGTGAGGAGAGGGAGGGGGCAAGGAGAGGGAGGGGGTTGAGGAGAGGGAGGGGGTGAGGAGAGGGAGGGGGGTGAGGAGAGGGAGGGGGTCTTACTCTTTCACTTCCACCCATCCCGGCCTGTGGCGCAGGACATCCATCAGAGTGTTCATAAGGGTAGTCTTGAACCGGATCAATGCTCTCTGTTCTCTGCAAGACAAGGCAACAGAACACTTGCTGGAATCCAACTTTCCTAGCACGCTCCAGGGATAGGATAAAGGGGGAGGAAGAAAGATCAAAGCCACAGCTAGAAATGCCGAAAACAGAATCCCCGAATTTCAGAGTTTAGCATCAGAGCGTGACAATCCCTGAAATAATCAAATTGAGCATTACAGAAACTTTGAATCATCAAAAAACAGCAAGCGTTTTGTCCAGAGCCTACTATGTGCTGGGCACGACCGGGCTGCTCCACGTGCACCATGACTAGCTCTCACACTCCATGCAACACTCCCCTTCCTGACATCCATCTAGGAAGATGGAGCAGATGTCATTTCCCCTATTCCTCCTACGAGGGCACTGAAACCCAATACATTCTGTATAAAACAAACATATGGTGGGGAATTCCCTGGGTTTTCTTTGGGCTTCCATATCCCAGGTGTGGAGATAAAAAAGCCAGCCAAGGGCTGGGGCTGGGGCTGAGCGGTGGAGCGCTTGCCTGGCATGGGTGAGGCCCTGGGTTCCATCCTCAGCAGCACATAAGGATAAATACACAAAATAAAGGTATTGTGTCCACCTGTAACTAAGAAAAAAAAAGCCAGCCAATGGCCACCCAGACATGCCAATGGGCACAGACTTAAATAAAGCCCCAGCAGAAGCCTGCTCTCTTTAGCCACAAGAGCAGAGCCCCCCAGCAGGACGCAGGGCAGAGAACAACTGCTCCATCAGCCAAAGCCCGCAGAAAACATCTGCGTCCCCCACTTGTGCCAGCAAAGGCCAGGGAGTCTAGAAGCGATGCCTCTGCCCCTGTGGTGTCAGAGAAGGCCCGGGACAAGGCTGGGGCTTCCTCCCCACCCGGGAGACCCCGTGGAGAGCCTGGACCTCCTCTCCCACCCCCTCAGTGACCAGCTGCCCTCTCGCTCTGGGGTGATGTCATAGGAGGCCTGGTGGAGAGGGAGAGATCAATACAATTGAAAACAGGAAAAAAATCAATAAAATAAAAGGCTAATTCTTGGGGAAGATCAAATCAACAAAACCATTTGTCAGCAAGATGACAAGAGAGAGAGAGAGAGAGAGAGAGAGAGAGAGAGAGAGAGAGAGAAGATACAATTACCTAGGAAGGAGTGACACAGGCCCTGCTGATGGGAAAAGTACAGTTAGGAGCAGGCCAAGGCCCCCGCACACCTGCATGTGACGACCCACACAGGGTGAGCCCCGAAAAGCACTCGGCACCATACACACCTAATGTGAGACAGGTCATTTAAATAGCTCTGTGACTATCGAGGAAATAGAATACATAATTTTAAAACTCCCAAAAAAGACATCTTCAGGACCAGATGGTTTCACTGGAGAATTCCCCCAAACATATAAAGAAACATTAACCCCAGTTCCACACAATCTCTTCCAGAAAAGGGAAGAGGAGGGAGAGCTTCCAAATTTACTTTGTGAATTTAGTGTTCACCTGCTATTAAAGTCAGGTGAAGAAGCTGGGTGTGGTAGCACATGCCTGTAATCCCAGCGGCTCAGGAGGCTGAGACAGGAGGATCACAAGTTCAAAGCCAGCCTCAGGAATTTAGTGAGGCTGTAAGCAACCTAGTGAGACCCTGTCTCTAAATAAAACACAAAAAAGGGCTGGGAATGTGGCTCAGTGGTTAAGCACCTGATACCCACTCCCAGAATAAAAAACATACCAAGGTAAAGCACAGTCAGGTTGCTGGAGGCCAGGAAGAGTTACTGCCAGGGGTGGAGTGGGGAGACAGAGACTGACTTCTGACTTCTAAGAAATAATGTCAGTCTGAAGACAAGGGAATGTCATCTTTCAAGTATGTAAAGAAAAAAGTCAACCTAGAATTCTATTCCCAGTGATATGGAAGGGAAGAGGAGAGGGAAGGGAGGAAGGAGGAAGGGAAGGAAATTCGTTCCAATAATTGGACGGAGAGGAACCACTCACCGATCTTTTCCTTTTGAAAATCCATGGCCCTTGTAATTTTGATTCTGTAAGGAGAAAAGGAAAATGATGTCACTGGTTTTGTACATCCACCTGCCTTCCCAGCCCACACTCAACCATGCCTCCGTCCTGAGACAGGAAGGTGCAACCTGGTCAGGTTCTCATCCACCATCAGGTGCCCAGAAAATCAGTGCAGAACTTACCTGGTACCCTTAGGGTGAATTCCCAAGCAGCTCACTGCACTGGAGGCTTGTTCCATGAGCAACACCCGCAGAGTGAATGCCTGTTTTATTGGCGCTCCAAAATTCGACCCTGAACCCCAGTTTTGAGAGCTCAGTTTATCAGGCTCTGAGTCTATCCTAATTTGGGGGGTGTGTCTCAGCGGTAGAGTGCCTGCTAAGCACATGTGGAGCACTGAGTTTGATACCCAGCTCTAAAAAAAAAAAAAAAATTAACTTTGCATGTTTGATTGGATCTAGAATCCAGGAAAGGGCTGTATCAGACTCAGCAACATGAATTCCTTTCACCCAAAACAGACCTTTCAAATCCTCAATGTGTGTGTGGCTGGTGGAGAGGGGTGTATTTCAGCTCCAACCATATCCAAAACAGCTTGTCCCCTCAGTCCTGGTAAGACTGATCCCTAAGGCATGTATGAAAGAGAAACTGATATTGGCCCGTGCAGCCAACCTTTACAGTTGGGACAGAGCTGTGATCCGAATTCATTTTCCACGACTGTGTAATAAATTGCTATAAATTGAGTGGTTTAAAATAATGCACATTCACTATCTCATCGTTTCTGTGGGTTTGGAATATGTGCACAGCTTAGCCAGAATGTCTGCCCTGGTCTCCTAAGGCTACGTTCAAGGTGATGGCTGGAGTTATGGTTCTCATCGGGGCTCATCTTCAAGCTCATTCACATGTTGGCAGAATTTGGTTGCTTGGGGTTGTAGGACTGCTGCCCACTGGGTCTGCTCCCAGTGTCTAGGGGCTGCTTGCTATTCCTTGCAAAGTGGCTCCATAGGCAGTTCACCACACGGATGTTCTTCCTGTATGCCACCCTTAGCATGTCCCTTGGACTTCCAACCCACTGCCTCCAAGTCAGCTATGATGGTTTCATATAACATAATGTCATCATGGCAACAGCGATGCCATCAAATTCACCCACACTCAAGGGGAGGGAATTATTATTATTTTTTAAATAATTTTTATTTATTTTTATTGTTTAATTTTCGGTGGACACAACCTCTTTGTGTGTATGTGGTGCTGAGGATCGAACCCGGGCCGCACGCATACCAGGCGAGCGCGCTACCGCTTGAGCCACATCCCCAGCCCCAAGGGGAGGGAATTATGCATGGCATGTACACCAGGCATGGGGACCTTGGGGGCCATCTCAGAATTCTGCTTACCACATTATCATACCCCTCAAAGAGCCTGTGGAAGGGAACGTGAGATAGCGCTTTCCAAAACCAGTGGTTAATTCCCCCGCAAAAGAAAATGAAATTGTGTCCTTCCTCCACCCAAGCCCTGCCTAGTTGCCCAGCACTAGTCAGCTCACCCTATATATCTTTTTGAAAATCAGATCTTTAATCCTCTCTCTTTTCAATTCCACTTTTCATGGGTTTATCCAGTTGCTCCAGAGTCCTTGGTTGCAAATCGTTTCCTTTCCTTACCAAATTGCACCGGCATGTTTGTCAAAATTCAGTCGACCATGACCACGTGGGTCTGCCTCTGGACCATATTGGGCTCTATTTACTTGTCTATTCCTATGCCACCATCACATGTTCTTAGGTACTGTAGTTTTCTAGTAAATCGTGAAATCAGGCAGTGTAAGTCCTCTGGCTTTGATTTTTAACATTGTCTTTGCAATGAGGTGCCATTTGCACTTGGATATAAGTTCTTCTATCTATCTATCTATTTGTTTGTTTGTTTATTATTTATTTATTTATTTTTGGTGCTGGGAATAGAAGCCAGCTAAGCATGGCTAAGTGTGCTGTACCACTGAGTTATACTCAACCCAACAATACAAATTTTAGAATCAACTTGCTGATTTCTACTAAAAGACATGCTGGGATTTTGAGAGGAGCACATTGACTCTAAGATCATTTGGGGAAGAAATGGCATCATAAAGCACTGACTCTTCTAATCCATAAAATGTGCTTGTTCTCTCTCTCTCTCTCTCTCTCTCTCTCTCTCTCTCTCTCTCCCCATTAATTTAAGTCTTCTTTATTTTTTTCTCAATGGTTCTGGTTTTTAGTAGAGAAGTCTTGCACATTTTTGTGAGGGTACACACAATTTATTCTGTCCTTCTCTCTTAAGAAGTTCATGTACCCAATTTCTTGGGTCATTTAAAAGAAAGCATAGTCCTACACCAGGTCTCTTGCCTAAATCTAGAAAGTTAAAGGCAGAAGCCTTAACTTAAATCCAGGCAAGAGGCCAAGTTGATCCAAACACCAAAAATAGGGGGGACCTTCTTGGATGTGGGAGGTGAATGGGGAGGAGTCAAGACAGAGCCCCGGTGTTTGTCCTGAGCAGCTACCGGAGTCCTCCACCAGTAGCCATTCAACAGTGATCAGCGTATGTCTGCTCCCTGCAGGAGCCGGCGTTAAGGCAGGGAAGATGGACCTCAAATAACCATCAACGGGAATTATGACTCCTGACAAAAAAAGCGAAGTTCACGACACTCTGAAAGCAGATAAAGTTGTTTTTTGTTGTGAAAGGGAAATTTAAAAAATGGAGATGCCCTTCTTGGGAGGTTGGAACCTGAGATAAGAAGCAGGTTGGGGCAGAGGAGCTGGACTCTACAGTAATTCATTTCCCTTTTTGCGCCTCATCTTTCCTAGTCTTAAAATGAGAGTTGGCTGGTCGGTCTTAGAGAGCAGGGTTTTGCCTGATTCACCTCTGTGTCCCTTGGTCAGGACTGGGCTCGGCTTGGAAAAGGCACTAATTAGAGTTTTACTGTTGTTTGTTTGTTTGTTTGTTTTAATGGGCCACGGGGAAATCTGAACGCTTGAGCTTCCCACGGGTCACAGAATGTCTATTTTTATTTGTTTGTTTTGTAACAAGGACTGAACCAGGGGCGCTGAGCCGTATCCCCAGCCCTTCATATTTTTTAGAACATAGTCTAACTAAATTGCTTAGGGCCTCGCTAAGCTGCTGAGGCTGTGCTTGAACGTGAGATCCTCCTGCCTCAGCCTCCTAAACAGCAATCTTTGTACAGCTTAGAACCCGGTCCTGTAACTTTCCTGCCAGAGGGTCTGCGAGCAGCCGTCGGGCCTCCTAGTCTTGGGTCCCATTTGGACCTTTCCTTCCTGGGTCGCAACGCCCCGTGATGACTCGCCCCCGGGCTCTGAACCCCGTGGCTTCCCTCCCTCTGAAAGCCTCTGGCTCGGTGCCACTCCTACCTTCGGTCGCGACATGACGCGATTCCCGGGGCCAGATCCAAGCCGCCACTACGGCCGGCTAGAGCCTGTCCGTCCCGTTGCCAAGGTGACGAAGGGACGCCCGGATCCGCCGCTCTGATTGGACGAGCCAAAGGCGCGCCTCCCGGTGGAGTGTCCCCGCTCCCGCCCACCGAGGCCCGGCGCTCCCAGGGCGTCCCGCACCCAGGTCCTCGACCTTCTCGACCTTTCCTTCCCAGTCCCACCGTTCTGCGACCCTGGGCACACCCGGCCAGAGGATGGCTGCCCGCCGCGGGCACTTACTGCCCAGCACCGCCTCCAGCCAAGCTTCCTTGATCTAAAAATGCTGCTTCTGAGAAGTTGTCACTTTTTGATAAATGCAATGGTACTGCTTCCTTACTCAACGACCACTAAGACACCTGGTCAGTTGGTAACGTCACCAGTTCCCTCTGCTCTCTTTCAGTCACCTTCTAAATTTTGAGCACCAACTCTTATGCCAGAACTTCCCTCGACACCTGCAGCAGCCTCCTGACCAATTATCCCTCTGGCCATCCAGATTCAGCCATGCTCTCCCCAGCTTGGGTATAACCTTCCCTGGCTCCCCATGGCCGTTAGGTGGAAATCCTCATCCTGATTGGCAAGCCTTTTTGTACTGGGGATTGAGCCCAGGAGCACTCAGCCACTGAGCCACAACCCCAGCTCTTTTTTGTATTTCATTTAGAGACAGGGTCTTGCTGAGTTGTTGAGGGCATCGCTAAATTGCTGAGGCTGGCTGTGAACTCGTGATCCTCCTGCCTCAGCCTCCCGAACCGCTGGGATTACAGGCGTGGGCCACCGGGCCCCGCTTCAGTAAATCTTTTACTGATCCGGGGTCTGAGGACTTAGCAGCCTCATCCATGCGCTGCTCTTCCCATTCCAGTCTCCTCCCTTCCTTCAGATACTGGTTTGACCCTTGGCCCCCCTCCCACACTCCTGGAAACACACTTATCTCTGTTCATCTTGGGGTTCCTTTTTCTGGTGGCTCTTTTCATCCCCTCTGCCCAGGCCTCAGCTTGCATTTGATCTCAGGAAAGTCTTCTCTGACTACCCGCTTCTCTAGGCAGATTCCTTTGAGTCCTCAATATCTCCGCCAAGAAAGAAAAAAAAAATGAGTTTTATTTATTTGCCACTGCATTCCCAGAGCTTAGCTCATGGCCAACACTGCTTAGTGAGTGAATAAACAAGACACATTAACTCAATGAATAATAACAAACTATGAAACAAAGCACAAGAAACCTGAGGTATAGACCCCCAAAGAACCAAAAATAGGTATTCAAACATTTATGCCCACATGTTCATAGCAGCATTGTTAATAGTGAAAAAGTGGGGGCTGGGGTTGCAGCTCCGTGTCAGAGCGCTCACCTAGCCTGTGTGAGGCACTGGCTTCGATCCTCAGCACCTCATAAAAATACATAAAACAAAGATTCATCGACAATTAAAAATTTTTTAAATTAGTGAAAAAGTGGAAATATCACAAATGTCCAACAAACTGCAGTACATTCATACTATTCAGCCATAAAGAAGAATGAAAGAATGAAGTATTGATACATGCTGATATTTGGACTATTTTTTAAAATACTTATTTTTTAGTTATAGGTGGACACAATATTTTATTATTATGTGCTGTTGAGGATTGAACCCAGTGCCTCATGCATGCCAGGCGTACCTAAAGAACTACAAACCTCAAGGAACAGAAATGTCCTTTGCAACTCTCTTTATAATGGTGGAAACTATTACACACAATCTAAATGTCCATTGGGAGGATGGTAGATGAATAAAATGGGGTATATTCTAATAATAAAATATAGCATTGTAGGGCACTGGTTCAATTCTCAGCACCACATAAAAATAAATAAATAATACAATAAAGGTATTCTGTCCATCTACAGCTAAAAAAATTTTTTTAAATACTATACAGTGATTAAAATGATTCAGATGTCCCCCAAATTTATTGTTCAGTGAATAAAAGTTACAGAATGATACATTTTATAAGGTTATAATTTGTGTTAACTATAAACATACATATGAAAGTATGTTTCATATTCTTATGGGTATATAGGTGTGACAAGCTTTAAAACATGTCTCAAAAGATACACATCAAGCACATAAGAATTGTTATATCTGGGGAGAGAGGAAAGGAATTGGGGAGAGGAAAGACAACTTCAACTACTCAAGTTTATTTGGAAAGTTCTATTTAAACACCACAGTTGAAGCAAGTAGGTCAAGCAGTTCCTTATCTGGATTTTAGATTTTTTTTTTCTTAAATGAAAAAAAACCCTCAAGTCCTAGTAATAATATGATAGAGGAGTTTAGGATGTTTGGGAAATGTATAACAGTGTAGTCTAAACAAGTCGACATGGGGTCAGTAAAGACTTTCAGGAAGAAATAAGAGTTAGCCTGATAAAGGGGATGGGAAGAGCATTGCAGGAAGAAGGAACAGTATGTGCTAACTCAGAGAGTATGGAGTATGTCACAGGAAGAAAATGCAGATGAGGACCAGGAAAGGGTGTCAAGGAGGGGAGAGAGGAGGCCATTAAGCCTGAATGCTTTTGTTGGTTTCCTTTTTTACAGATTTGGTAACAGATTTTTTTAGAGACAGGGTCTAACTAAATTGCTTAGGGCCTCGCTGACTTACCTAGCTATTCAATATGTCGTCTCATTTAATCACATAAAGATCCATGGGCCTTTCCCCTCCCCCTCTCCTTATTTATTGATGATAAAACTGAAAAGCTAAGCAACTTGCTGAAGATGCTCCCGGCAGAAGACGGGGCCCCTGAGGTCATGCTAAGCAGCCTGAACTTTTTTCTAAGGGCACTGGGGAGCTCACAAGTTTCCAATTGCTGCTTGACATTATCAAAAAATTAGTGACTTGAAATCACCCAACGGTATTATCTTACAATGCTGGAGGTCAGGAATCTGACACGGGTATCACTGAGCTAGCAGGGCAGAGTTCCTTCTGGAAGCTCCAGAAGACAATCAGTTGCCTTGAGGTTTCCACCTGCATTCCTTGGCTGGTGGCCCCCTTCCATCTTCCAAACCGGAAGTCACAGCGCCCCACCCTCTACAGTCGCATCCCTCTGACCCTCACTCTATCCCTCTTTCGCTGAAAGGACCCTTGTGATGAATCCAGGTTCTCTCCCCATCTCAAAATCAGCTGATCTTGGATTCCATCTGCAGGAAAAAAACAGACATAATTTCATCCACGGTACTACTTCCCCCTTCCCAGGCAGCATAACGTTCAGCGTTTCTGGAACCTAACATATGGACATCTTTAGAGAACCATCATTTTTGCCTATCAAGGTGAACCATTGAAGGGTTGGAAGCCAGGGAATGACAGGGTGAGACCTGCAATTTTAGCATCTTCATATACCTGGCTTGTAAAACAGTCACTTCATGCCTGAAGAAAAACTGGGCTTTGCAATAAGAAACATTTTCAAAGGCTGAATAATACACAGCTAATCAATTATTAAGTCTAATAATGATATCTCTCCTTTCTTTGGGGCTTTGAACAACAGTTCTTTCATACATGTGTCTAGATCATTCCCCCTAGTGACCAAGTGAGGGTGCACAGGACTTATAATTGTCCCTGTAGGGATGAGAAAAGAGACCCAAGGACACTCACCTGCCTAGGTTCACAGAGCTGCTACAGCCAGGACTGGGATGGGGACCTAATCATCAGGGTCCCTTATCATTCCCCTCCCCCTCCTTCCCTCCTTTCTTTCTGTCCTTCCTCTTCCCACCACCCCCCACCACCCCCCATACTGGGGCTTGAACCCAAGGCCTCACACACGCCAGGTGAGCACTCTACCTCTAAGTACAACCCCAGCCCTTTTAAAAGTTTTATTCTGAAACACGTTCTCATTGCGTGACCTAGACTGGCCTTGAACCTGTGATCCTCCCACCTCAGCCTTCCAAGTAGACAGGATCACAGGCGAGCGCCACCTCACCCAGCTGTCAGCATCTCTTTATTCCATTTGGAGTGGGGCATTCTGGGAAACTCAGTGTCAGCGCATCTTGGGAACAAATTTCCAAGCGTAGTTGGGCACCGGATAAACATGTGTGGAGCTGGTGAAGAGCCCGCTTTCATTCCTGCGGCTCAGATAGTGACTGTCAAGGCAGGGCGCCTGAAGCCATCCTAGCATTCCTTCCTTCCCCCCCGGAATATCAGCTGCACTCTCCAAACCGTCATCTATGCTGAGTACCTACCTCCTTCTTCCCAGCTTCTTCGTCCACTCGGTACCAGGGCACCATCCTCTCTTGCCTGGATGGCCACAGTCGACTTCTCGCCAACTTCCCAAAGGGAAGAGTTAGTAAGGGTAAGAGAGGGACTTAAAATTTAAACCAGATGACCTGGCCTCCTGGGGTAAAGTGTCCCATGCTTTCTGTCACATGGCAGAGAAAACAATGTCAAGGCCCAGTCATGGTCACTGATGGTCCTGCGTGCTGGGCCCCCACTCCACTCTCTAGCCCCATCTCTTACCACCTCCCTCGGCTTCCTCTGCTCTAGCTCTTGACAAAGGCCACATTCTTGTCACCATGGGTCCTTTGCAGTGCTGTCCCTTCTGTTGGAAATACTCTCTCCACTCTTGTATCCTTATATCCCAGCTCTCCTGTCCCCCCTTCAGAGAGGTTCTCCCTGCCTCCCTTTGTGCCTTTCATAGAAAATTTCCCCTTTTGTGAATGTATTATTTGCTCTTTGCTTGTTTCGTTTGCCTTCTCTCCTAGATCTGAGATGCTCCCTGTGCACCTCCTAGCCACACTTGGCCCCTTAAACATTTGACATGTAGTTTGTCTGAATTGAGATGAACTCTATGCATAAAACATATACCAGATTTTGGAGACAATACAATAAAAGTGATATAAAGTACATGAATAATCCTAAATATTCTGTGCTGAAATTATAATATTGTAGAAATAGTATGTTAAATAAAATCATTAACAATTAATTTCCTTTTACTTTTTAAATGTGGCTACTAGAA